ACTAGAAAAAATCATTCTTCACCCACAAGCTCAGGCTGGAACCTCGCTGGGTGCGTGTGCGGGAAGCCCCCGGATGCCACTTCCCCTCGTGTGTGACTAGTTCCTGCCGCCTCCTCCGAGAGCTCTCAGCACCCTTTCCTCCCTGGCCTCTTCTGGTGGCTGCCCGTGAGAATTCAGCTCCGCCTGCCCTTGGATGCTGGCGTCCCTTGTGTTGCGCCCTTGACCGGCCCAGTGGGACTGCCCTCACCCGGTCACGGACAATTCTACCATCTCTTTTTGACCTCTCCGATGGGGACTGTTTTAGAATCCCAGAGAGCTGGAAGGGACTTCGAGGGCGTGTGCCCCCCCCCCCCCCCCGCCTTGGACATGCTTAGACATCCTTTGCCCTGAAATTCGCCCAACTGGAAAGCTTCCCTTGGCTTGTTTTGATGGGTTTAAGGTCCTTGGTGCCATAATTTACCGTCTCTCCTATCTGAGCTGGGAAGGCTCAGCTCTCTCCATGGAAAGAAGAGAAAAGTGGAGGGGGTGGTGGAAAGATCGTTGTGCGGAGGTATAAGAAGACCAGGATGGGTCTCTGCGTCTGCGGGGGTCCAGGGCCCAGCATTCAATGCCTCCACCTTGAGACCCTCTCCTGCAACATGGAGGGCAAAGCGACCTATTGCACAGAGCGGCTGATGTGGCACCAAAGACCCCTCCCAACTCTGCAGTGCCGTTCCCTGGGGCTCTGACCCCGTAAGGCTGCGTCTTCGCACCCTACTTTCCTTCCGTTGATTCGCTCAGGGCGTCCTCACTCGGTGGACGACGTCCCTCTGGTGCCTACTGCTGAGCAGGTAACAAGAGGGAGGCCCTGACCTTGGGGAGACCCAGCAGGTACTGCCATGTGTTGTGGGCTGAACGTTGGTGCTCCCCCACCCACCCCAAGAACTCGTGTGTTGAAACCCTGAGCCCCAGTGGGATGGTAGTTGGAGGTGGGGCCTTTGGGGGTCTTGGGGTTACATGAGGGCATGATATGGACCTTCCTGGTGGGATTAGTGACCTTAGAAGAAGAGGAGGAGACGCCAGGACTCTCTCCCCATGAGTGCACACGGGGACAGGCCGTTTGAGTACACAGCGAGAAGGTGCCACCTATGAACCAGGAGCTGGGCTCAAATCTGCCAACTCCCTGATCTGGGACTTTCCAGGCTCCAGAACTATGAGAAATAAATGTTTGTTGTTTAAGCGGCCCAGTCGGAGGACTAGATATCATGTGACCTCGGGCAAATCCTACAGCCTCTCTGAGCCTCGGTTTCCTGGTGACGGAGGCAGCTGCCACACAGGACTTCTGGGGGAACTGAAGGAGATGCGGTTGAGCAGGGCTCCCCTCCCATGGCGTTCCTGTAGGGACAGCTTTCAGAATGAGAGGCCGAGAACGAGGAATATTTAAGGATCTAGCATCTTCTGAGAGGTCCTCCGAAAGCTCCTCCCCTTTCCAGAGTGTGGGGCGGGCTACCTTCTCCCCGCTCATTTCAGTTCAAGCCAACGATTATGCAGTGAGCGCCTAGAACATGAGAGGGTGACCAGGAGATGCCGAAAACTTTCGGTCCCCGAGAAGGAGTCTGTCGTGCTGAGCAGAGCTCCCGGAGGGGAGGACATGTGGCTTCCCGAGCGCTCACCGCATGCAGCCGCCGGGCTCACGTCTTCCAAGCATCAACTCTTCATCCTCACGCCCCCCCTGCCAGGTTGGCGCTGGCACTGTCCCCATGTGACAGAGGAGAAATCTGAGATTCGGAGGATGTGCCAGAAAATCTCCCTCTGCTCTGCAGCCCCACCCCCATGTGCTGTGCCCCGAGGTGACCTGGAGAAGCCCCATCTGTGGGCTCCCTGACCTTTGGCTTCTGCTTGGGTTAGGCTGATGGGAGTGCAAAGGGAGGACAGAGGTGAGGCATTTAGTCCCCTGGGGGTGGCCATGCCCCTCTCACGAAGGCTGGCCTCCTGTCCTGCAGCCCTCGCTGTAGGATGAGTGTCTGCAGGCTGCAGTGCCCACCGTCTCCCCCTGCCCCTTCAGTCCAGGGAGAGCTCCCCAGGTGGCAGCCCCAGGGGACAGTGCTCACTGGTCCATCTTGGCCCCCTGCCACACCTTTCTGGACTGTCCCTACATTACACTCTCCCAGACCTACCCTTACAACACCTGTTTGCTGCCAGCCCCTCACTGAAACAGGTCCACGTCTTTTTTTTTTTTTTTTTTAATTTTTATTGAGTTAATGATAGGTTACAATCTTGTGAAATTTCAGTTGTACATTATTGTTTGTCAGTCGTGTTGTAGGTGCAACCCCTTCACCCTTTGTGCCCACCCCCCAACCCCCCTTTCCCCTGGTAGCCACTAATCTGTTCTCTTGGTCCACATTTTTAAATTCCTCATATGAGTGGAGTCATACAGAGATTGTCCTTCTCTCTCCGGCTTATTTCACTCAACATAATTCCCTCAAGGTCCATCCATGTTGTTGCAAAGGGGACGATTTTGTTCTGTTTTACGGCTGAGTAGTATTTCCTTGTATATATATACCACATCTTCTTTATCCATTCGTCTGTTGATGGGCACTTAGGTTGCTTCCATGTCTTGAAACAGGTCCACATCTTGCCCAAGGTCACCCAGCTGGTCAGTGGTGGCTGCCGCGTCCTGCCCTTAGCCCTGCCTGGGTCTTGTCTGAAGGTGCCCAGGGAGGAGGAGAGCATCTGAGGTGAGGGCAGTCAGGGAGGGTCTCATGGAGGAGGAGGTGTTGCTCAGGAAGGGCCTGGGCTGGATAGGAGTTTGACTGGGAGACATGGATGGGAGATGTTGCAGGGTGCGCCCTTTTCCTGAAACCACTGTGACAAATTACCATGAACTGGAAGGCTTAGAACAAAAGAAATTTATCCTCCCACAGTCATGGAGGCCAGAAGTCTGAAATCAAGACAGGGCTGTGCTGCCTCCAGAGGCTCTAAGGAAGGATCCTTCCTGTCTCCTCCAGCTTCGGGGGGCTCCTGGCATCCCTTGGCTTGTGGCCACATCCTCCATCTCTGCTTTCATCATCACACGGCCATCTTTCCTTTGTGTCTGTCATTGGATTTAGGGCCCACCCTAATCCAGGAAGACATGTTAACTGAGTTCATCTGCAAAAACCCTATTTCCAAATAAGTTCGCCTTCTGAAATTCTAGGTGGACGTGGGTTTTGGGGGGCGCTGTTCAACCCAGTGCATGTGAGAAGGCGTAAGAGGTTGAGAGATCCAGGGGGAAGGAAAGAAGGAGCCAGACTGGAGGAGGGGATGTGTGGGGTGTGCAAAGTAAGGGACGGTGTTGCTACTCGGCGAGTCGAAGCCCTGAGTTTACAAAGCCTAAGGCCCAAGTGTCAACGAGGCAGGAACTGGAGCTCCCGCCCCTCCTGGCGGGAGGATAGGTGGGCGATGGGGCCACTTCGGGAAATGGCGCGGCAGTGTCTTACGAAGTTAAGCATGCCCCTACCGTGTGAGCAGCAGCCCCCTTCCTAGGTATTTACTCCAAAGAGATGACAACCTATGCCCACACAAAGATTTGTCCAAGAACATCCCAATAAGTCACTTTGGGAAGCAACCCCACTGTCCATCAACAGGTGGACGGATAAACAAAATGGAACGTATATCCATGGAATACACTCAGGATCAAAAAGGAGCAAGCTGTTAACACCGCAAATAGCCACACCTCAGAGTGCTGAGCGGAGCGAGCCAGGCCCTAAAGAGAGCTTGCTGTGCTGTCCCATGTTTCTGGGGTCCAAGAAAAGGCAGCCGGGATAGAAATCACAGTGGTGGTTGCCTCTGGGGGTGGGGGGTGGGGAGTGGGATGAAAAGGGCCATAAAGGAACTTTCTAGGGTGATGGCCATGCTCTCTTTCTGGATTGGGGCTTCGTTGCATAGCTGTCTGCTTTTCCAAACTCAATGAACTATGTGCTTAAGATGCATGCAACTTACTGATCGCACCGGCGTTATTTTTAAAAAGGAAAGGGAACAGTAAGTTTCTCATGATGGATGCGGGTCAGGAAATAGAGAGAAATGAGGTTGAAACGGTAGATTGGGGCTCTGTGGTCTGGGGCCGTGGAGCATTGGGCAGAAACTTGTGTCCAGCCTCATAGGCATGGAGCGGACGTGGCAAGCTTCCAGGAAAGGGGTCTGGGCTGATCTTTCTGGATCACCTGCGTGTGCAGGACACTCGGACAGGCGACTTTCACGCATCAGTTCCGTCCACCCACCCGCGACTCTCTCGCTCTCTCCCTGAGCATTGTGCTAACCCATCCACGGTGAAGTGTCTATACCACAGGGCCTCCCAGGGGAAGGGTGTGATCAGAGCTGTGCTGCAGCCTGCAGTGTGAGGTCCAGCTGGAGAAGGCAAGAGAGAAGACACGGTTGTCAGAAAGGCACTGGGTCAGTGGTCCAAGGTGGCTGCTGGGTGGGGGCGGCCAACAGGGGGAGTCGGAGATGTCGGGAGGAGAAGAGTATGATGGTGCGTTTGGCTCTGGGCAGCTCGGCGTGGAGCTTGCGGAAGCATCTTCCCTGGAAAGTTCTAGGCCCCACACTTCCGCCAGCTGGCCTTCAAAGTCAGGGGACTGAGGTCTCCTAGGCGAGGTGTCCTGGTCGAGGTCGGGCACCGCGGCAGGGGCCAGCAGGAAGGGCAGAGCTGGGTGACTCTGGGGTCCTGCCCACTCCTCTCTCCCCGCTAACCCCCCACCCATGCTCGCTGCCCCCCCAAGGGCAGGCATGGCCCCGGCTCTCTGCAGCACCCCGCCTGCCAGAGAGACCGCAGTCCCCTCCTCTTGTCTCAGCCTCCCCCCTCCATGGAAAGTCACCCACAGACTCTGCTCAGAACAAAAATAAAAAGGGAAGTATGGCAGCCCACCGCAGCCCCCACCTCTGCCCCTGCTAAAAATAGCGGTGGCCTCTGAGTAGGGTGTCGTGTGGGCTTCCGGGGGCGGCCGTTGCTCCCTGCAGCATCATCGTTTTCTGGGGCCCGGCAGGCGATGCGCCAGAAGAGAGGGAATTTGAGAGGACCCCGGAGAGACCTCAAGCCAGACCCAGGGCAGAGCCAGTTTGCAAACGCGTGAGTACATTTCCCAGCTGGCCGGTCCTTTTCCTCCGAGGCACGCGTGTGCCGAGCTTGTGAAGCCCCATCCCTGTTCAGGGAGAATCTCCTGCCCCAGGTCAGGGGGCTGCTGTGTGACCCCCGCTTCCCGCCACCATTCCCTCTTGCTCTTGTCCGAACCCTGTGCTCTGATGGCATCATGCATGTTCCTTTTCATTTCTTAATTCCTTAAACAACACAGTGGACTCTGAACAGCTGGTGCCGGGCCAACTGTTTTATGCTGTAGCTTGATTGCACAGACTGTGGAATTGAGCCCAGAGAAGGCTGTCAATAAATGCCTGATGATCAATTCGGACAGAACACTCCTGTTCCTACGTGCTGTTTTTTTCTAACTCTCTTTTGATGGAGGACAGTGCAGAGGGCTGAGTGGGGGGTGAGTGCACAGAATGCATTCTTGTTGAAGGAGTGAGATGCCCATGGCCCCAGCTGGGTGGAGAGGAAGTGTGGGCAGTGTCTGTTTCCAGAAGCCAGGGCCCTTGCCTTTATCTGAATCTCGCAGCCCCGGAGCCTTGCCCTCTCTGGGATCCCTGCCCTTCCCCTGGGATCGCCTTTCAATCAGTTCCTCCTCGATTGTCCAACAGTTAAGCCAAGGCCGGGGGGGGGGGGGGGGGGGGGGGCTGCCCTCAAGCAAAATGGAATGAGAAAAAGATATTGGAGAGCAGAACCAAGCAGGACACCTTTGATCCCGAATCCAGGGGAAAGAGGCACAGCGTGGGGTGAATGGCTCAGCAAGGAGGCAGAAGGACCAGGACCCCCAAGAGGAAGTCACCCCCCACCCCTCCCCACCCCCGTATCTCTTGGAGGCAGCTGAATGAGACGCTTCAGGAATCCATGAAGTCCTGCAGGCTTGAAGAAACTTTTGCAGCCCCTGGGGATCCTTGGCTTACTGGAGGCTGTAGTCTACTTCTAGCGGGGCAAACTGACGTCACGGGTTTGAAGAAGTCAGCAAGGTCTTAGAGGCATCCTTTAAACACAGTGCTAAATTGGTGGTGCCTCAAAGTCACGCAGTGGGTAACATCCCTCGATGCAGAAATTTCACCACCTGCCGGAGGAAGACGCCCTGCCTGGCCTGCAGCGTCCTTGGGTAACGCGGGGCGGCCAGCCTTCAATCCCGGCTTCGTACGTGGACTCACTCGGAGCTCCTCAGCCACAGGCAGGAAGACATCAGTGATGGTAAAAGCAGCCGGGTACCCCCAGCCTGCTGCTAACAAACCTTGTTCCTGACAACTTCGAGTTTGTACTGATCTCCGGCGTCTGGGTGCAATTTTGATGGGTGCCTTATGTAATTATTGGTGATTATATCATTCGGCACACACCAAAAAAATGGCTTTCTGGTTTGCACCTGATTTATAAGCTTTCGCTTACACAGCAAGAAGCTAGAGATTATCTCTGACATGAATATTCCCAGATTCCTGTCACTGTTACTTTCAGATTCTCCGTGAAGTGTTTCCATCACAACCGTGCAGGAAGGATAAGACATCGGAAAAACCCAATCTTGTATTTGCCGGTGCGTGGTGGTAGGGAAAATGAAAAGACATGCTCACCAGCCAACAACCAGGACAAATTCATTTAAAGATACTTTTACGCAATAGATGATTACAAGAGAGCTAGGGAGCGCTCCAGAGCTCTCCCCTGAGAAGGAAAATCGGTGTATTTTGACATGTTTTGCGACCTCATCTCCCTGACTCCACTTATCTCGCAAAGATACGTGGAAAATGTGAGTCTCAGTGTTTCTATGTTTCCAGCTCTCTCACAGCTTGAAAACAGGTGAGCTGGCCTAAGGAAAGTTACTCAAGTTCACATGCAAGTTGCCCACCGTCTCAGGAGCTCTTGGGAGCAGGGATGTGATGGACGCACGGATGCTGAGCCAGAAGGAGCCCCTCCTGGCCAGACTCTGCTTTCCCCCTCCACGCTCCTGCGCTCAGCCTGCCCTCCCCAGCCCCTCCACCATGCCTCCTCCCTTGACAGCGTCTTGCTTCATTTCTCTTTCCTTTTCACAGCTGTGCACCTGCGGGTACTAAATAAAACTGCTAGTTCTGGTTCCCTTTTCTCTGTCCTCTTTCTCTCTTCTAACCCTCCCCTCACCTGCTTCTGCTGCCTCTGCTTCTCTGTCGTCTTTTCCTTGATGCAGCAGCCCGCAGAAGTCACTCTCTGGATTCCCACGTCCGCCAGAACCTCTGGTTTGAAGAGCCACTGGAGCGCTACAGTGGAGAGTGCGTGTGCTTGCCTCGCGGGGCCCCAATCCAGCCTCGCCCCGGCTCCCCTCGCCCGTGATGCCCCCTCCTCAGGCCTCGATTTTGTTATTTCTTCATCAGAGTTGTTGACGCCTGCCCGCCAGGGCTGTCTAAGGAGTTGGTCTTCGTTCAGGACCCAGCACCGCACAGGCACTCAAGCAATTGTAGCTGTTTTTATTTTATTCTACTCTGTTGATGGAGGTGACCTTCACATAACACAAAATGCACCACTTTAAAGTGGGCAATTCAGTGGTGTTTATCACATTCACAGTGTTATGCGACCACCACCTCTGTCTGGTTCCAAAATATTGTCGTTGCCCCCGGATAAAACCCCTTACCCATCGGCAGTCACCACCTCCATGCTCCTCTCCTCCCACTCCTGGTCAGCGCCATTCTGCTTTCTGTCTGTCTGGATTTGCCTATTCTGCACATTTCATATAGATGGAATCGTGCAATATGTGGCCTTTGGTGTCTGGCTTCTTGCACTCAGTATAATGTTTTCAAGGCTCCTCCACGTTGTAGCCTTTTTACGGTTGAGTAGTATTCCATTGCACGAATAAGGTGTCTTTACTTTAAGGGTAACCGGAGAGGATAACTGGGCAGAGGAAGGCGAGAGAAGCAGGAACCTTGCTCGGCGCCATGATGCAGCAAAGATGCCAGAAGCAACCCATGGGGGTCTCTGCCCGTCACCCTCGCCCACCCCACAGGGCAGCTAGGTCTTGTGGTGGAGCCTGAACTCCGAGCGGCCCCTTCGAGGGGCACGTTGGAGACATGAGCAGCCATGGCCAGCCTTCCCCAGCTGCCGTCTGGCTCTGCGCTGGGTACATCATAACAATTAATTACAGCCAGCCGTTGATTATCAGAAGTAATAGGGGACCAGAATAACACAGAGCTAATTGAAATACGGGGCTGCGGAGATGGTAACGGAGGGGGCCTCGTTCCATGAGAGAGCTGTTGATTCTGTAGTTAATTATGAGTAAAGAGACCCTTTCGGAGTCCCACTCTTCCTCCTTCTCTCTCTCTCCCTCTCAGAAGCCTAACGTTTTATTGCAAGCACAAAGCTATTTTGGTCCCAACATAGTGGATGCTCAGTTAATGCATTTTAATGGACTTGCTCCCTTGCCGTCTCTCCGGCAGAGCATTTCAGGAGAGAAGATCGGACTGGTTTAGATTTCGCGTCTGCGCCTGCCTAATCTCGCATGCAAACGCTCGCTGTTGTAATAATTGCCGTCATAAGAGAGCCGGGTGTAGGCATCACGCTTTGTTCTTCTAAAAACTTCTGCAGTAAATGGCAATGTCTCCCCAAGACATGCAGGAGAGGGGAAAACGGAACAAATCAGGCGCCTGGAAGCTCCACAAAGTGGGCCGCCAGTCCTGGCAGGGTTGGGGAGATGGGGTCGCTGTTTCTGGCTTGCCCAGGAGCTCTTTCCTGGACGGGCAGAGGTCCTGAATAGCGAGACACCTCTCTTCTTTTCCGGCTCAGTTAAAAACTAAAAGTCAGTGCTGTGTCCTCTAACTTTCCATCAGCGGTGCCTCCGTCCGTCACCCCTTTTCTCCCGGGAGGCAGGGCCGCGGTCTAGAGTAATCCTAGGGTAGCCAGCAGAGGACCACACGGGACTTGCAGAGAGTGGCTCTTCTAGCTCTTTGGCACTACAGCCGTCCTTTCTGAGACTCTGCCTGCCTCCATCCGTGCTGTCTGCTGTGGCTTTTTGTTCCTGAGTCGTTCTCTCCCCTTCTCTGAAATGGAGCGAGCGCCCGCTGCGTGTCAGACACCCACAAGTGCAGAAGTCACCGAGCCCTGCTTGCTCAGGACTGTGTCTTCTGAAGGTCAACTGGTGACGAAGCTACCATCAACCTCCTGCCACCGTGCACAAGGACGCAATGACCTGTTGGGTTGCTCCCAACAATGCCGGCTGGTGTCGGGTTGTCGGTTTTCAAAGGATTAGGATTCCGCAAAGCAAGCCGGACTCCAGCACGCCGATGGCTAGAATGGGCCGTCCTTGCTAATGCAGAAGGTCCTTCGGATTCCGCTGGTGCCCCGGGGAAGGAGCACATTGCAGAAATCAACCGTTGCCATAACACTGCGGCGATGTTTGGGACCACCAGCCAATGAAGAGCTCTCCCCAACAGAATGGAGGACCAGCTGGCTTTTTTGCATTTTGCCCGGTGAAGACGGTTTGTGACAAGATGGCCCTGTCCCTGTGGGTCAGAAATTGGAGGGACAACTCTTCTAGACGTCTAATCCGTGACTGATTGAGAGGACCAGCTAGGTTGGTGCTTAGATCTGAAATGCAGGTGCAGCGAACAGACTGGGTACAAATGAAAGACATAGGGTGCCATCAGCAGGCTGTCGTGGTGAAAGCCTTCGCCACACGCGCCGAGACGGAAGTCTTCTCCGCTGAAGGGAGGAAATACAGCAAGAAGAGAGCCGGCGCTTACCCATCAGGAATCGATCACTTCGTAAATACGAAACGCCTACTTGCGTAAGATCCTTGCTGGGCCACAGGGCGGACGAGGAAATGTGGGATGGGGGAAGATCACAGGCGACATGGTACACACAAAGAGATGCTAACCCCACCCGGTGAGTGAGCTGCAGGTGGGAAGCCCAGACAAAAGGGTTGAAGACAAGTCTTTAAGTTTTTTCTAAATTCTCTTTGAGGTGGAGGTAATTATACGGGACACGTAGGCGGAGACCCTTGTTTCCATCACGAGTTTGCCGCTGGC